AAAAAGACGTACCTAACAAAAGAAAGAGGTAGTTAACAAGGAGTATAAATACGAGCAACCAACAAAAATTATGCAGAACGAAAAATGACACTGAAGATGGCACAACGCCGAAACCGGTTTGTCTCCAAACCAAATTTGACAAGGGATGACGGAAATTCGTTCCATAATACATCATACACCCACCCTGTCGGAAACAACAACAACCAAAAAGGAAATAAAATATTAATAATTTGGAGCTTGGCCTTTATAATTATTAACAGCCAATGCTGCCTTTGCACCCACCCAGCTATGGCAAAGTTTAACTAAATCTACATAAATGGTAGGTATACATTCATCTTAAATATTTATATTTGTAATAAATAATATCAAAAAGGAAATGTACATACTTATAAAACTAGTGATGAGTATAATATGTACTAGTACTATCAACGTCCACTGCATCGTGGCTGTGTTCATTTTTCCCTCCTTAACATTAAATACTTTGGTTTCAATTAGATTTATTCGCCTCGGTTGTGCGAGTGTTTGTTTTCACACATTCCTTAGTTTTCCATTTTACTGTCCATCTTTTTTCGCCTAAATTAACGTACAGTCGCCATATATAAAATTGGTATGGGATGAGTTTTTTTACATATGTAATTTTGTCGCCATAAATGTAATTTTCCTTAGTACATGGGCTCTTAAGTATTGCGTGAGCTACTTACAATCACTCTGCTTCTCTTTAAGTAATTTTTTTAATATTTTCTTTGGTTGGACTACACTATCATAATAATTTAGTTGCTGCTCATAACTTCATTCGCATTTTCGTTTTTGTATGCGCTCACGTTCGCTTGGTTGTCTTTTTTTGTTTCGTTATCTTTACTTCGCTGCTTCTATTCAATTTAATAAAAAATTCCCTTCGTTTTATTCTTTGTGGTCTTACAATCCTAATTCGGCATGTGCAGCTTTACCGTTCGCTTCATCACCATACATGTTGGCCAGTTTACCAAAGCGAGGCCCCCACGAACCCAAGTAGTCATACTCGTGCGCCTCATCGTCAGTGCCTGAAATAAGGAGCGAATAAAATACGAATATTAGTATTGCTGGAATAGATTAGAGAGGAGGTTTTATAGCGGGTTACAAAAAAATACACAAAAGAACGGATATAAAATTGGCTTTACAGCTCCTTCTCCATAACCTGCAGGAAAGTAAACGGAATGGAAGTAAGTGTTGGGCTCTTAGCCAAGCTATGGCCATAAGTAACTTACATTAGTCCACTTTTCTAGTTTTTTCAAACTGGGATTCCCTGCAGGTTATGACAGGTAAAACACAGATCTGCAATCAGTATGTTTGCGATATTTAAATAACCTACGACGGACACAAATATATTCTAAATAATTACACATCCATTTTGTCTTTGCTTATAAGCAGGTAAAACAATACAATTTTATTGGGCTTTATAATGACCGAATTAGAAACACTGTTATAAAGTCGAACTATGTGTGAACGTACTTTTTAGGGATTAGTTTCCGGCCTTCAAGAAAAATATACAGAACTCTTTCAAATAAAACTTCTTAATCAAGTACGGAGGGGATCTGTATCGTTCGTTCGAGTTTCAAAAATGAGCTGTCAAATTAAAAGGCTTGCTCTGTATGTGTGCAACATGGTTTTAGTTTTGTGAAACGGGTTGCCACATGTTAGATAATTAATTATAAAAAAAAAACTGCGCGCGGAAGAAGTGAAACTTATTCGAGAAAATTCCAGAATGGAAGAAGTGTGTAATTTCTAATTTTCTAATATCTATACATATAATAAAATTGTAACAGCCCGATTTCTGTACATTATATATATTAAGGAAAAATTAATACGAGCAACAGAAGGCTTGCTGAAGGCCGCGAACTGTTTGAAAATTTTAATTTAATTGATAAGATAAATTGAATATTGCATTATGGGTACCAAACTGAAGAGGTGTAGGAAAGTTTACTGCTGAAAATATTTTTAAGACGGGGAGAAATTCTATTCAATTAAATTGATAAAATAAATAAAATATTACAATACGGGTATCAAACAGCACAAAAGTATGTTTAAGGCATATATATATTTAGTTCTAATCTTTGTTTAAACGAGTTTCATTTTTTTATAATAAACTGCTTAGTTTAATTATTATTTGGGGCTGAGGGGAAGTTCATAAGGCGAGTTGAGTTGATATCATTTAGATTGAGGTGAGATAACTCATGGTTAGGTGAGATGAGTTGCTTTAACCGTGAGAACACAATGCTGGCGGACGGAGAACTCACCACAGCGAAATTCCCGCTATCAAAATTAGAACACCCGCCGGTATATGAAATTGAACACAGCCAAAGCGAAATGCGAAGTTTGCTCGGCGGCGTTACGTGGCGATAGATTTATTGCTATCGCTCTGCCGGGCGATGGCGGCAGTACATGCCAAAGGTGGCCGTATGTTTAAGGTAGTGCGAGGTGAGGTGAGGTAAGTTAAGCTGAGATAAGGTAAGGTTTTTTCCTTTGGTCTCTCAACGCTAACCGCGTGTTAAAATATATATTTTATAGTGGATTTTTATAACCGAGCGCACTTGTGCACAAGGGTATATTAACTTTGTTCACATAACGGTTGTTTGTAACTGCCAAAACGAATCGAGATAGATATAGACAAATGTGTACATAACTGCTCAGAATGAATAGAGAAGTCGATTAAGCCATGTCTATTTGTCCGTCCGTCTGTCCGTCCGTGCACACGATAACTCGAGCAAAAATTGAGATATCTCAACGAAATTTGGTATGTAGGTTTCCACTTATCCAAGATAGGTTGGTATTGAAAATGGGCGAAATCGGGCGTGGTTACAGCCCACTACTCATATAACGGTAATTTTCAGAAATACGAAAACTGCGATATTTTAGTAACTAACTACTAAAGATTATTCACTAAAAATTTATACTGACAATAAATTTTAGACGGAAAATAAGAATATTATAAATTTTTGGAAAATGGGCGTAGCCACGCCCACTTATGGTTACATGTGTATATCTTGGTAACCGCTGCACCAATTTCTTCCAAACTTGGCACAGTTGTTGGCCTTGGTACAGCATACCAAATGGCCGAAAATTTTTAAAATCGGACAATAACCACGCCCACATCCCATATAACGGTAATTTAGAGAAATACAAAATCTTCGATAAATCAGTAAATATTGAAGCTAATTTATTCAAAATTGATGCTTGCAACAATTCTTTATCAAGAAATAGGTTTATGATAACATTTAAAAAAATGGGTGTGGCACCGCCCTCTTATGATCACATATACTATGTATCTCGGTAACCGTTCTACCAATTTGTACCAAACTCGGTATGGCTATTGTGCTTGCCACATAAAAGCAAAACGTTGAAAATTATTGAAAGCGGACTAAAATTACGGCCACCTTTCATACAACGGTAAATTTCAGATATACTTGAAACTTCAAAATTTTCAAATTTAAGGACGCTAATTTACTCCAAATTGATACCCCCGGCTTACCATGTAGCGGTAGCTTTCGGAAAGGTGAAAAACATATATTTAATACTTGCGCCGGGTATTTAATGTTCGGCTCCGCCCGAACTTAGACTTTCTTACTTGTTTTNAAGGTGAAAAACATATATTTAATACTTGCACCGGGTATTTAATGTTCGGCTCCCTCCGAACTTAGACTTTCTTACTTGTTTTTAAATATTCGTTTACAGATATGAAGCTATTGTAACAAGAATGATAAAATACAAGATTGCGCATTCCTGCGGGTGATGACGTCAAGATAGCAACGAATAGGAAAGAGTAATTGGAGATGGGGGAGAGAAAGAGTGTTAACCGTGAAACCATGGAGGTCGCCATATTTACTTGCATACAAACATCTCTGCATACACGGTGCAGCGAACAAAGGTGGCGCCGTCAGTGGTACCGCTACTTTGGTTTTGCCGATTTTGACAGTTGTGGTAACTTGTAAATAAACCTTTGTTTACAAATCAGCGAAAGAGAAATATGAATTATAAGTGAAAAATCAGTTTAAATTGTGTTAATTTGCAATTTGTGAGTGATTTTTGAGTTGAAGACTGCGTAAAAACTAATACAATGAAGTGATGTGTGTTAAATTGCGACAGCCGTCAAGATGCAAGAAGCGTAGATGCAAGTGTAGCGCTGGGACGAATCGCTGCATTTTGTGTACATAGGGCACGGCAAAGCCGTTCCCGAAATATTTCTCTATTATTATATTAACAGCAATTCCTCACAATGATTTTGTTTCTGCTCCACGCAGCCTCCATTAGCAAGTTAACTAATCAATCCCGCAGAGATGCTGCTGCAGTTTTCTGCAGCAGCCTTAATTGCAAAGCAATGGAGTGTACTAAAACGTTTGCTGAAGCAGCCTCAATTGCAAAGCAATGGAGTGCACTAAAATGTTCACTGTTCTCTAATAGATTAGGTGAAAAATGCAATATTTTCGCATTTAGCAAAATTAAAACACGTTTTTCGCTGTAAAGTGAACTGCTTTGGCAGTTTCAACTCGTTCTTCTTTTCGCTCTATTCGTTGTTTACTTGTGGTACACAAATGTCAACGCCCAGGACGGCGCAATCTTGTATTCTATCATTCTTGCTCTGCATACATACAAAAAGTTTGCTAAAATGACGTCACACGAACAACTGATTCTGTCAAATTCGCCAAAACCAAAGTAGCGGTACTGCTGATTGCGCCACCTCTGTCTCCCTACATCGTGCTATTGTAACATGTACAAAAATCATCAGAATATTGATTTTTACATTTCTTTAAAATTGATGTACAAAAATGATATGGCCTGCTAATTGATACAGGCAATTGTGATAATACAGCTATAGAGTCTAATTGTGTTGCATCTAAATGAACAAACATATATGTGACCTGGTCTACGAAAAGGGAGCTTACGTGCGAAAACTAGTTTTCTGTGAAAAAGCTGTTAAAAGTAAGCAACTCGTTTCGTCAGTTTCTCATTATCTCGTTAATTGTTCTCCGCGCCGGACGTCCAGTAAGTGTTGTTGTTNTGTAATTGTATAATGTAATAAATTATATTTTGTCGTATTTTTACTCTTCTTTCTCTACATTTTGTAATTGTAATTGTAATATGTAATAAATTATATTTTGTCGTATTTTTACTCTTCTTTCTCTACATTTTTAGTACACTTCTAAGCAAGTTAGGATTTTCTGCTTTTCACCACGTGAAAAAGCATCTCATCTTCCATCCGAATCAACCAAAAAGTGAAAATTGATTTTTTGACACCTAAGCCCCCTTTCCGTAGACCAGGTCACATATGTTAAACTCTTTTAATACAATACACAACATACCAAATGGCTGAAAACTTTTAAAATCGGAAAATAACCATGCCCACATCCCATATAACGGTAATTTGGAGACATACGAAATCTTCGATAAATCAGTAAATATTAAAGCTAATTTTTTCAAAATTGATGCTTGCAGCAATTCTTTACCAAGAAATACGTTTATGATAAAATTTTGGAAAATGGGCGTGGCACCGCCCACTTATGATCACATATATGTATATCGGTANCACTTTTCAAATAACGGTAAATTTCAGAAATGCTTGAAACTTCAATATTTCGAAATTTAAAGACGCTGATTTACTCAAAATTGATACACCTCGGCTTACCATGTAGCGGTAGCTTTCGAAAGGTGAAAATCATATATTATATAATACTAGCGCCGGGTTCGGCTCCGCCCGAACTTAGACTTTCTTACTTGTGTGACTCTCACGTTTTAATATTAAATGTAAATAACTTCTGTATAATTTAACTAAATTCGACTTTATCAATGGGTGGCAATCTTCTTCAAAAGTATTATTTATTGAATTAAATTTAACTTGTGTTTTTTTTTTAACAAAAAGCAACTCCATTGCATGTATGTAGTTAAAAATTAATGCGTTTTCAAAACCATATCGATTGACGCCCATATTCTAATGATTAATTTAGCCTATTACATAAATAACTTGAATTGAATTCAATTTTAAAACAAGTGGAACCCCTTTCAAAAAGCT